AATCTCGAAAATACAGCTTATGCAAAGGATGCAATTAATTGTCCATAGATACGATGATATTCACCCATTCGTACATAGCAAATTGAGGTTCCTAAATCTTAACCAGTTTGAAAAAATAAATATTTATATTATTATTAATGTTATATTAACTACAACAATTACATTACTGAATGTTAAATCTAATATGTAGGCCTATTTCCAATCGATGTCTGCTAACCCGACGTGAATAGGGCCTATTGTACTCTCCCTAGGCTGGCCTAAACCTGAGTGTGCTGAAACCGGCGAGAAAGCATGAGTTTGGCTGCATCATATAGGCCTATCCATAATAATACTGTATTTATTAACCAGCGTGAAGTTGGTTACGAGAAAGCATGAGTTTGGCTGCATCATATAGGCCTATCCATAATAATACTGTATTTATTAACCAGCGTGAAGTTGGTTACTCTCTATGTGGCACACTTCCGTTGTGAAGGTGCATCTAAATACCTCCATACATGGTTGGACGAATTGTGATTAGGGGCCTAGCACTCGTCGCAGTGCAGAAGCTGAGCTGACCTGAATCCTCCTTAAAATTAGCTGGGCCGAGGTGAAGCATAATTAGCATGTTTAATTTATGCCGCGGTGATTAGCCAATCGGAAATCAAAGTTGTTAAATACGTCACCCAACACGAAATCATGGTGGCTGCAATCGAAATCCTCACTGTTTGCCCAGTCCCTAATCCAAGAAAAAGTATACTATGAAATGCCAAGCAAATAGGTAATATGGAACGCCATTGGTGCCAAAATCAATTTAAAGACAAAGATTAGGGACTGGAGCCCAGTCTAAACATTCGGTCGCAGGGCAAAAGTGAATGTTTAATGTTAGTAATTGAAATATTACAGTATTAGGTTTATATTTTAGAAAACTACTTGTACACCTTGTATATTTGGCCTACACCAATATTAAGATTGTAAAATCAAAGTTATCCACAGTTTTATTTTTCAAAAAAAAGTTGACTTAAATTCATTAATTTCTACCTCGTTAATATTGTTTATGTGCCTGAAAGTTCTGTGCGTTGCCCTTGGACCTACTAAGATGATTTGGTCCCAACGTTCGGGTGTGGACCCCCTTGTCAGGGAGCTTGGACCCCTTCGTGGGGAAATTCCTGGCGCCAATTCCTAGCCCCAAGTCTTGCGGGAGTCTCCCGGAAATCGGGACATCCTCCTGCACTCCCGCAAGCAAGAAAGAATCTCCCAGAAATTAACCCATTATCACATATCCCTGCAAAATCATAATATTTGCATATTTTCACTACTTTATTATCAATTGTAATTGAAGTCATTGCCAATGTGTATCACAATGTGCAGCAAAATAAAATTAAGTGTTATGAAGCTCATTAACAAGATCAGTGACGGATTCAAGAGGGAATCCCTATCCCCATTTTTGTCTAAATTTTTTTTAAATGGAAAGAAAAAGAAAATCACATTTAAATTTATGTCTGAGAACGCCATTTCCGGACATCCAAAGGTGCCATAATCATAATGTTGTTAAGCTGGTATAGATCCTACATAAGCCCCTCCCTGCTCTCCCCATTGCGAATTCTCAGATCCGTCACTGCAGATGTCCCAACGGGAGCTAAGTGGACGTAGTCGGTAGTTGCTCAAAATATATCAGAAGTGGTCCAGGGGACAAAACCCCTAGAAGTTTGACAATTTATCAAATTACGTAGAAAATACAGTACATATAATTTATTTCTCCCCGATGAATTTTCAATTCAAGGATTTTATTCAACAACAAAAATTTACATTGTAGACAAAGGCTAAATTGAGTAAAATACCACAAAGAAATAATGCACACCACAAAGAAATAATGCACAACAAAAAGCGAGAAAAAAGACACCAAAAAATAGCCAATCAAGTATAAAGCAAGACACCTAAAACTATTGAATTACAAAAACATTGTGGCTTTTCTCCCGACAGGAAAAGTGGAGGGGGGAGGGTGAAGCTCTCCCCGATGGGGCAATTTTCCTTATATATCATTTGGTAGGTATACCAACCATGATTAGTAACTGATTTCTCCAGTTAAGTGTCAACATTTCATTTATTATTTCATATTTAAGTAAGGATAACAATTACTTCCAACTTTTCGGACACGAAGGTTTAGTAGGCTACACACAGGATTTGCATATGATTAATTAATGCAGGGAGTTGTTATAACAACTCCCTGGTTAATGATAGAAATGTGGTCACCCTGGTAAAGGTTAGAGCTAAAGGAACCGTCTAAAATCATTGTGACAATATTAAACAGGTTTAGTATCTACGACATTTTATGATCCTGTCTCTTATACACATCTAGATGTGTATAAGAGACAGGTGTTGTACTCCCAATCTGGATTTTAAGGCTCTAGTGTGAACCTAACCTTGGTGAATAGCATTTACTATGAATTGGGTGCGCAAGATTCTTAACTAGGATGTATCGCCGCAGATCGCCGTCACTACCTCGGCTACTGTATTTATCATTCCTATGCAGGCCTACATACCTTCCTGTCATGGTTAAAAAGTTATTTAGGCTAAACAACACAAAAAATATTACAATGGTAAATTAATTAAATAATATTTATCACATTATTTGTATTCAGTTAATGTTCCTCCACACATTGACAATATTTTATTGAGGAATATAATTTTGCTAATTTGACAAATGTCTACATTCTGTAATGCTGAGGACCTAGCTAGTTATACACATAAATTATTAAATAATGTGTTGAATTTGCATAGGCTAGGCCTAAAAAAATCCAGGGCTATGATAAATTAATTAAATAGCTAGGTCCTGACTACAAAAATCTTGTTCGAAATGTGTTCAATACAAGTTCTACAAACTGAACTGGACGAAAACTAAACACTGGACCCGGTTCGGAGGTGTGTGTGTATTGTGAGAGTAGCCTGCAACTTACGACATACGATCGTATGAGCCATCATCCCACCGCGCGCTGTCTGTGATGTTAGTTTTGACATGGCTAACTTGTTGCTGTACAACAAGGATTGAACTTTGTATTTTCCCACGGCTGTGTGTTTTCCCCAAGTGCGCTACTAAATTTAGAACTTCGACTTGTGTGGATTGGATTTTATTTATTCGGTGTAAACACCAATGATCAGGGGCGTACCGTGGGGGGGGGGGTCGATGGGTGCGGTCGACCCCCCCTTTTAAAGAAAGTGCCCTTTAAATATGGTTTTTTTTTTAAATCTAGCATAATTAAACTGCGCCTAACATAAAGGTTAGGTATATTGATATAAATTATCCTTCGCCTAAAAAATGTTTGGTGGCCCTTCCTTTTAATATTTTGATTTTTTGTCTTTTTTTTAAACAATCCATATAAAGTTATACATTTTAATCAACTTGATATCTCGAAGCCTGCGCGCCAGTAGAGTTGTGTTATGTGGTGTATTGTTTATGCATCATTGCACTCTGCCATTATTGTTATCTGTAGCTGCGTGTTTTCCGTGCAGCTAAATAATCTATTCGCGCGCAACGCAAAACCGAAGGCAATGTAATTATTTGATGAGAGCAAATTTTTCTCGTGAGGTAGTTGAATACTGTAGATTATTTTTTCGGAATATAAAAAAATGCCAAATAAAGAGAGAAGAAGAAAAATAAAAAAAAAGGAACTCAGAGAAGACGCAAAACGATGCAGGACGCATCGGAAAATTAATGATAACAATTTGATCTTTAAATAAAAAGCTATTTATTTTTTTATATAAATATTAGGTAAGTTAAATTACCTTTAGTTATTTAAGTTATTGAGAAAAACGATGAAGAAAAACTAAGTTAAAGAAATATATTAAAGTATAAAATTGAAAGGAAAACGTTAAGAAATAAACGCATTCAATACAGTATATACATTTATAACTTTATTTTTTTTTTAAATTAAAAGTGGGACGATCCCACGAAAAAGAAAAAAAAACATTTTTTTTTAAATTCTTTAATCTGAAATGCTCACAGGCCCGTATTCAGGAGTTCCGCAATCCAATAGGCTGGTGGTATATTGAGTGAATATAGTCTGGTGTTGCCCAAAAACTACATTTACAATTAGGCCTATTTTGTCAGACTTGGTATTGAACTTAATGCACTAGAACGTAAAAACGTAATTTTTTCCCTTTTGCGGCCCCTAGCCCCAGCCTAGTTGCTCGCTTCACTCACAAATAACGCACCTCGCAAATTCTGAAAGCTTCGCTAAATTGCTCCGAGTTCAACTTGCCCCCGGCGCTTTCGTTTCGACCCCCCTCAGATTTTTCACCGTACGCCCCTGAGGATAGCCCACGTAAGTCTAGAATAAGACTTATTTCCAGTGGGGTCCTTCTGGTGGTGATTGGACAGTACACCGGGTGATAATCCCCTACTCATTTCCGAAAAATGTACTGCGTTCTTTAATGTGCACATGGGCCATAAATGCACACGGGACCAACGGCTTAAATGTCTCATCCGAAAGACGGTGCGCTATTGTAACTTGTATTTCAGCCCTCTAGCTGAAACACAAGGAGAGGCAGCGATGGGAATTGAACCGGGGACCTAGAGACGCCACAGTTTAGCGCACAAACAGTGGCTACCACCAGATTAGCCGACTGAGCTAAGCTGCTCTCTCGAGTGGTTGAAATTACTTTAAAATCAGCATATCCAGACCGGAAAAGTCTGTCGATATAGCCGAAATTCGACTTCCAAAAATTTAAATTAAACAAACAATGTACACAGTAATACACAGGAAAAGAATTGGGACTTTTTCAAAAATTCAACTGACGCGAATTTTCGACTCAAAAAGAGTCGACTTTGGCAGACTCGACTGTACAATGACATATACCATTTTATGATCAGATCACATGATTTCTCTATACCAAATAATGTAGACCACTCAGATATACCACAGCCCACATGCCTGAACACATTATTAAATTTGAAATGGAATCACACATGATAGAGAATAACTGAGCTTGTACGCTAAAACAATACAAACTTAGTTGGTGCTTACCTCTTCTGCAAGGTGTGCAAATCCTTTACTTGGATGCTGTGTCCGCACGTCCCAGACATGAAATTTAGATTCTAATGTAGTAGCAACAAGCTTATTCATGTTAATGTCCTTTCGGTCAAATTCTAAACAGCATACCTTATGTTTACATTAAAGAAAAATAAAACTTTAAAAAATAATGTTATCAAAAAAATCTATATTTTGATTGATTTAATAATATCTTTTAATAAATTCATCTGATTTCATAAATATTTTTTGAATGATTCTTCTTTCATTTAACCAGTAGAAACATTCTACTAACCTGCAACGTTTCAGATGCACTTTGGTTATCCTTTCTCAAGCATTGATTCTAATGTTGGTCAACACCGCTATAGGCCTATACGCGGTGTAGTACGCCCTCAATCGGTAGGTTAGATCACATGAACTTTCTACCCTTTATGAAAACCTATTGATTCTCAGAACATCAGCTGCAGGGCACAGGTCTAAGACCAAGAAAACTAACCTACCGATTGAGGGCGTACTAAGGCCCGTAGGCAGGGGGGTGCAGAGGGTGCGGACGCACCACCCCCCAAATTCCAAAAGGTCCACTTTTTAAAACCTATGATTTCACAAAATCGTTCCTAATTCACAAAATGCTATAGCATGCATTGCATTATATATTTGCCAGCTCTATGCTTGAATTCTTGTAACTTCATAAGGAAATGTCAGATTTGAATGATTTTTTTACTATTTTATAGCTCTTATTTTACTCTTTAACACTGTATTAATAACTCTAGTGACTGACTAGTGACTGGTTTGGCTTGTCTTTGCCACAGGTGGTATTGACCATCTGTCTGTGCAAGTTTCTCCTCCCTTCACCCCACCCTCTATTTCTCCTGCTTTACTGTAGGTCCCTAGACAAATGAATGAAAATTTAAATAGGATATTATAAATTATGGATTTTAGAAATCCATTAAAAAAGGTCCTTAAAATGCTAATTTGACAAAGCTTCCAGAAGATTCGCCCCAACCTCGCGGGGATCCCTAGGCAGTTGCCCATCTTAAGGTCCACTTCGGTTGCAACACGCACCTCCCATCGAAAATCCTGCCTACGGGCCTGGTACTACACCGCGTATTTAGCGGTGTTGACCAACATTAGAATCAATGCTTGAGAAAGGATAGCCGAAGTACATCTGAAATGTTGCAGGTTATATTTAAAAAAATCATTCAAAAAATGATTTAATAATTATGCATATTATGACAGTTTAGGTAGAACCTATCTCATGCATTGCATCATCATGATGATGTAACCCTATAAAAAAACTTTCGATATTCCAACGTAAATTTGGCCGTTCTTTTCATTTATATGGGTTTTTACTTATGAAAATGTCTCAATTATGTATAAAATAACAGTTTGATTGGGAATATGCGCTAGCGAGCTGGTAACGACACAGCCAACTGATGAGAAAATTCTTTCTCGTCGCGAGCGGAAAATTGAAAAATAATAATAAGTAGATTGCATTTTTGAAGAATATCAAAAAGATATGCTTGCTGGTTTGGATAAGTAAGTCTTGGAAGTGATGATCTTAGAAGTGGCGTTAAATAGGTTCATTACCAAATAGGTTTGTTACCAACTTGTCTTATCTGTGTAGGGGGTAATACTAAAGTGCGAGGCAGCGAGGCATGCAAGGCAGCGAGGCATAATGACGATTCATGCGAGGCATCGATTTACCATTCACGAAAAGTGCGAGGCATGATTTAACGCGCTACCTGGCGTTCCCCAAAAGTGCGAGCCATATATTTTAACATATCTACGAGGCTACAACAAACATAACTATTAAAAATAATTAAATGATGAGAAATAGTAGAACAAAAATCCAAGCCTAGGCCTAGACCCTTGGCCTAGGTGGCCTACCTGTCTATAACAATAACCAATTTGATAACCAAATATGTAAGCTAGCGCCCTCTATTCATTAGCTGACGCGCGTACTTTATCCATGAGGCAAATAGTGTGATGTGACGCAGTTGAACTAGATCGGAGAAGACGGCGCGCTTTTTCTTGTTTTTTCTCCGCTGGTAACCCTGAAAAGATGTCTGTTCTTGAAAACCGTGTGTTGTGCTCTTGCAAGCTAAAAAAAGGGGACTTGCACTGAAAACAGACCCGCCGGGGAACCAAAACCGATGTTTTTATCAATGTTTGGCTTCCCATTTTTCGTTGCAAGAGGAAGAGGTTTTCGAGTTGATAAACAATTATCTTTTGTGCAATCAACATGTGGATTCAATTGAAAATGTATTATAAAGTCACCGAGATATTATGAATAAATGCCTTCATAATTGTCTTGAGATATCTTATTTGTAGTGTATGTCCTGCTGTGATCATGTCTATTTAAAAGAAACAAAATACATAACAGATTGTGTCCATTTTTTTTTTGGATATTTGTAAATAGATGAAATGAGTCTTCTTTCATTTACAGCATCTGAGGAGAGGCATAAAGGAGCCAAACAATTCCATCATGTTGGTCCAGAAGAATATAATCCTGGTGTAAGTGTTTTTAAGGGCAGGGAATTGAAGGTAATTTCTTAGTTATTAGCATTTTATAACTATCTATTGTCTTATGAATATGTTTGCATAGCTCTTAAAGGGAAGGTGTGACTTTAAAATTTGTTGTCAATATGTTGATATTATGATTGTCCTAAGATGTAGAAAGCTTCTTTAGCAAAACATTTATTTATTAGTTATTCAGATAGATTCTTGAAAATTTAATAATTTGTTCCAAAACCTTTATTGGTTTATATATTAATTAATTAACTTTTTCGTGAAATATGCTTTTTGCATCTCAGAAATTAAACCCACACCTGACCTCAAAAGGGGAGGTCCACTTTGAAAATGTCTGTTCTTTGTTTTATTTGAGTATAAAAGGACTTTCACACTATTACAATTTCTTCCCATTTTGGGGTGAATTACAGAAGTTCAGAAATAATAGCAAAAATACAAAATAGCGGGTATTTTTTCCCCCAATTATTTTACATGTAAACTAACTTATCAAGGAATACTAAATCATATAAAAAAATCAATTGCTGCACAAATGTACAACAAAATACTATTTTGTGCCTGTTTCAACCTGAAAGTATACCTCTCCTTTAACCTTATTTGGAAGCTTTTAGCACCTTTATCTTGAAAAGTCCTTAAGCAGTACAAGGAAATGCATACAGATAATTAAAAATATTATTAGTTGAAACCTTTATATTTCTTTTGTTTTCAGCTTGATGAAATAATAATATCAAGTGAAGATGAAAGTATGCATGAAACTGTAACTCATGTAAGTTGCTGTTAGTAACTGATCACATTTTCTAATTCATAAGATTCATTTTATAATTACATTACTCTAAAAACTTTTCAATTTTGTTTTTTGGAATGATAAATACTGGATCCCATTTTAGTATTTTGAGACTAAAAAAAAATTAAAATCTCCATACCCTACCAAACGTGATACAGTATGGTGTATTATTCTCTGCATAAACCGTATTTTCAATTGGTGGTACAGTGCTTGGTAACTAATTTAACAACATCTCAACATCTTTTGTTCGTAGTAGATGAAAATGAACTTTGATAAAACTTCTTACTTTTTGTTTTTATCTATACAGGATACCAATGATTTTGTTGTAATATCAAGTGAATCAGAAGATCAGGTAAGTCGGACAGACATGGTAAGGTTGTAGATATTACAATTGAATGTGCTTACAGCAATGTAAAAATAATAATAAACTAAATCATATAATACTTAAAGCCCCATTCCCGGCAAAATTTTCTTAGAGACTGCCATTTTTAGAAAATTGCATATGCATTACACTCATTATTATGAATCATGGAAAAATACTGCAATAAATTTTATTTTTATGCTAAAGACTTTTAAAAAAAAGAGAAATACCAACTATTTCTCTTGAAAAATTACCATTTTCTTGACGAATTCTTCGTTACTAGGCAAATTTAGAGGTTGTAGATCGCATCCGCTGGAATGCTCTCACTTTTATGTGTTATTTTATACAATCAATCAAGTGCGCCCTCTTTAGCATGTACTTCGGATTTCGCATACTGCGGTCGATCGAGGAGGCCTGAGATACGCTTGTTTATGTGTCAAAATCTTGGTTAGAATCAGTTTTTTAACAAATTGAAATAATTAAAATGAAATATTATATTTTACAAGTGTCAATACTGGCAACGGAAAATATTATGTCGGCCGTTTTTATGTGTGATAACAGAACCTAAATTGAGGTAAGGCTAGGCCTGGCCTAGCAGTGTTGCATAGGGTAATGTTTTCAGCACCTGCAATATTTCTTCGTAGAACGATCGCAATATCAAACCTGAAAAATTTATCCGCATTTAGTTTTTGTCTGGAGGACAAAAAAAATCAAATTTCAGCCTTATTTTACATTCTTTTCATGTTTAGGAATGTCTATATTGAATTAGAATACCGATTCCGTATTACATTTGTAAAGCTTTATAACATATGTTTTTTTCCAAAAAATGAGAGGCTGCCTTGAATGAAGCTTTAAATCTTATGGTGTCAGTCACACGCACGTATGCATTATTTGGTCATGTTTTATCTTTACAGTAACTAATCCTGAACATAATTTATTTTTGCATAGGACAACAAAGGTAATGATATTGTAATTTCTAGCAGCTCAGATGATTTACCACCAGTCAACATAAATCATAAATGCAAAGCAAGAAAACGAAAAAGAACTAAAACAGACAGTTGGGTAGGTGTTATAAACATTTTAATGAAACATGAAGAACTTAATACTAGCAATATTTTTATGACACCAAACTGGTCTACTAATCAGTATCTTATTATTCCAAGGTTTCCAAATACCCACTTTTATAGTGAATTGTTTTAAATCAAGTAAATCAGTTTGTTTTTTAATGTATTTATTTGATAAACAAAATCATTCTAGTCATTGTGGTGGTGCAGTACAGTATGTTAGCTTGTGGTGAATGTGCTAGTTGCTTTCAACACAAGATATTGGTTTAAATCCTGAACCAGTGCCATGATTTTGGATGCTTTTAATAATTAACAATGCCGCTCAAGCCTAAAGTAAATCTTTTTAAGAACTATAAAAAATAACAGTTACTCATCATGTTATTGGCAAGCAATACAA